GTATTAGACAGAACACACCCCACGTGCTCATAAGGACTGTACACTCATTTACCAATCTCTTACTGCACATACTAGCTCCATCCCTTTGTCCTCACCACACTCTTTGGTATCTTTCTATTTTACCCACCTGGGACCTATGTTCTTTTGTTCTCAAACTGCTCTCCAAAATAGAGCTGTATCCTATCTGCCCACTGCTCCCCCCCCCCAAAAAAAAAAACTTCTTATATGTTTTGTAATGACATATATGTGTATGATGTTCTTGCCTCAAATAAAATTTAAAGTCTTTAATGACAGTAATTGTTTCACTTTGTATTTATCTGTCATGTACTGATCATACTACCTGTAGCATAGCAGGTGCTTTAAAATTTCTTGTCGAATTCCATTGAATTCAGTTATGATCCAACTCCACTTCCCCACTGGTGATTCAGGCTTTGTAGCTCCTAAAGTTGACAGGTGAAGTTGATGAACAATTCCCTAATTTCCTGAATCACAGAGTGACTAGCCTCTTTTCACACCTTCAGAGAGCTGTCATTTTTAATGCCTAGATGCGGTTCTCTCATGTTTTTGAAAATGACAAAGAACAAATTATATCTTAAACATTATCAGTTCCTCATGAGTACATGCCACAATTCCCCATGTGTCTATTTCTTTGGGGACCTGGCAATTAGAAGCATCAAAGTTTGAGAGCACTTTGAGTGATCTTAGCAAGGAAGTAACTTTTAAAAAACTCAGAGGCGAATATAAAAGGTCCCCAGTTCTCCTCAGAAACCATGGGTTGCATTTGGGACATGGGAAGTAGTGCCCTTTTCTACAGTCAGCTAATTTCTCAAGAATTAGAAAATGTGATGTGTTTGGTACTCAGATCTTAGTAGCCCAAGAGAAGTCATATCAGCCTAAAAGAACTCAGTTTTTGCACTGAAAACTCATCCATTTAATGCAGGCTACAGTTTACAAAGAAAGCAGATAGAAAGGTGATAATTTGGTAAGTACTCTGGATTTGGGAAAATGCCTAACACAAGTCATGAGAATGACCTTTAAAAAAAGTGTGGGACACTTTCATTAATTATATAATGGTTAATTCCTTAATTTTAATTTATTTCCCCCACACACACACACACACACAAATTTATTTATTATATAACAGTGTAAAAAGAGAAAGATAAAAGTGTTTATGAGATTTAACCATAAGCAATGCTTTTAAGCCAAAATGAACTATCAGAAATGCACTGATATATCGATTTATGGGAAGTAAAGACTATGTCACAACGCGGTGCACCACCTTAGGAAAAAGCCCTGGTTTACACTCCAACCCTCTGCAGATATGGATAAATTATGTGACTTCTCTAAGAATGAATTTTCTAATCTATAAAATTACAGAATTGAAATAGCTTCTATAGTCCCTTACAATTCTAAATCCTGTCATATTTTGATCATAGACAAAGGAACCTTGGTCTTTTTCAGACACCTGGCTTCTTGTCTTTCTTCTGTTACTGCCTTAATTTGTCAACTCTGATTAAATCATTTAATCCATCAGTTCTTATTCGCCACATTGAAGTTAGTGGTACATTCGCATTCTAGTACAGGTGACTATGAGGGACAAGTGATACAAATAACATGAAAGTGATTTGAGCCAGGCTTCATGATGCATGCCTGTGATGCCTGCTACCTGTGGAAGCCTAGGCTGCTTATGCTCAGGAGTTCTGAGCTTCAGTAGGGCTAAAGATGATCAAACAGGTGCACATTATGCCCAATAGCAGTGTGATGCTACCCTTTAATGGGGTAAGAGGGGGAGTCCCTCATTAAGGCAAAATGATAAATGTGTGGCTAGAGAATAATTTCTCTAACAACAACAACAACAAAAGCAAACGAACAAACCCTGAAGGTTTTAATGGTCTCTAACCTCAATACGTGTGAATAGTTTTACATGGCAAACAACAATCTAGTGTTTAAGCTGCATTGGAAGCAATAGTGATCAAGACTAGAAGAAAAAAAAGGCACCCCCAGTCTACCATGCCCTCCTAGATAGACCATATCTGGGAAAGAATGCAGAGTTCTGAATGCTATTATTTTAAGAACATTGAAAATGAAGAGAACTAAGATGGTCATGGCTGCACACAATGTTATCCTTGATAATGGAGAATGATGAGACTGGTAGATTGCTTGAGGTCAGGATTTCTGAGCTGTGGGTGTTTTAAATCTAGGGGGTATCTCCAGTGAATTTAATCCTTAAATTTTAAGTTCCCTGGAGAAGAGGGCATGGGGCTTTTTAAAGAAGGCCAGACTGAGGGGCAGCTAGGTTACACAGTGGATAGAGCTCTGGCCTTGAAGTCAGGAGGATCTGAATTCAAATCCAACCTCAGACACTTGACACTAACTAGTTGTGTGACCCTGGGAAAGTCACTTAACTCCGATTGCCTCACCAAAAAAAAAAAAGGGGGGGCCAGACTGGCCCAGGTGAGTAGCAGAATGGGCCAAAGCTTCCCAACAGATCATTTGTAGTTTCAGGTCCATGTGCAGTCACTAGACTTCCAACTTGGCCAAAATAGGGAGTATAGATTAGGTAGTCTATAATGATAATGATCAGGATGATGATGATTTGAAAAGCCTAAAGTATTCTATCAAGCATACAAAAAATAAGCCTTGACTTTCCAGACCTCAATAATATATAATTTCATCTGGCCACAACAAAGTTAATAACTAGGAAGGGAGTAAAGAAAGTTTTTGAATAAAGTCAAAGTGAATACATTGAATCTCATGAGTGTTATACATATGTACCTTAAATCCTTCATTATGAATCCATTTACTCTTGTTTTAACCAGAACTCTGAGAAATTTGGTAATCTGGTTATCAAACTCTGAACAAATTACAATATTTAGAGAGGGGTAGTCATAGGCAGATCAAGTGAAAATTGTGATTGGTGACCTGTGACGACCAACGAGAGACAGAAAAGTTATAAGAAGCAAACACAGATTCAAAAATCATAGTGACAACAAGCATTTGTTAAGGTCTCATTATGGGCCAGGTAATATGCTAAGCAATGGAAGTACAAAGAAAGGGAGGGAGAAATGTCAGGCAGAAAAAAGATCTAGGGGACAAAGGACTCTGAAGGAGCATCTAGTCTAATGGCAGAGACACAATTGAAACAACCATGTACAAACAAAATATCCACAGGATAAATGTGTATAATCTCAGAGAGAAGGAATTATCATTAAAGGAGAATAAAAAAGATTTCTTGCAGAAGGTGAAATTTAAACTGACTTGATGGCAGCTAGGGAAGGCAGGAGATGAAAATGAAAAGAAAGAAAATCACAGACACTGGGCAAAACAAATACAGATGCAAAGATTCTGAAGTTGGAGTGTCTTATGTGAGAAATAACAAAAAGACCAGTGACCCTGGATCACAAAGAGTGCAGAAGGCAATAAGGTGCAAGAAGACTGGAGATGAAGGAAGGTCTGGGTTATGAAAGGCTTTAAACACCAAACAGAGCATTTTATATCTGATCCTGGATGTAATATTAAAAGGAAAAAGCCACTGGAATGTTTTGAATTGGATTAGGGAGGGTGATGTGGTTAAATACGTCATTTAGGGAGATCAGTTTGGCAGCTAAGTAGATGACAGTTTGGAGTGGGGAGAGACTTGAACCAAGGAGATCAAGCAGCAGGTTATTGCAGAAGTCCAAAAATAAGAATATGAAGGAAGTGCCATTCCAAAATGACCACTGACGCCTGTGACAACCATAACCATGCACATAGGACCTTGACTCACTGAACTTCTGATTACTCATGCAAAAAATGAAAAGACTGGACTAAATGGCTAAGATCACTCTTAAATCTAAAATGACTACAAAGGCCAAATCTTTTCATTTCACTTTTATGACATTCCTCATATAATTCCCTTCTCTCTACTCACAGTCACCATCTTAGTGTAGGCCTTCAACATGTCATGGATGGACCATTGCAATATCCTTCTAATCGGACCCAGAACTTAGTCTCTCCCTACTCCAATCAATATTCTGCTCAACTGGGAAGGTGATTTGGCTAAAATATAGATCTGTCCATGTCAGTATCTGCCTCTTCTTCCCTCAATAAAATCTAGTGACTCCTTATTACCTAAAGGATCAGATATAAAGTCCTTTTTTGGAATTTAAAACACTTCATAACCTGGCTTTTTCCTACATTTCTCTTATCTTTATACCTTACATACTCGATGATCCATCAGCACAGTGCTAATTTTATTCCCTTGAGAAGAGCATACCAAATCATACCTCTATGCCCTTTCTGTGCTTGAATATTTCCTTCCTCACCTTTTCCTCCTAGAATCCATGATTCTTCATAATTTATTTCAGAAGTTATCTTCTGAAAGGGGAAGTTCCCCAGCGGCTTAATTCTTCCCTCTTAAGGTTCTTTTCACAAACTCCATATCCATTCTGTATATATGCATTTATTTATATGTTGTCTCCCCCAATATGTTGTAAAGTTGTGGAAGGCAGGAAGATGTTCATTTGTGTCTTTGTATCTCCTGCATAGATAATAATGATGGAGGGTGACTAAGTAGGTTACTCTTTGCTCTTCACAGTATGATGCAGTTCTAAACCTTCCTAAATATGATGGGATATAAGAATTATGGCTAAATCCTATTTTGGAATGGCTGGTTTAAGGACAACCAGATGAATCCAGACCCACATTTTCCTTTCCCTGCTCAGTTTCACTACCAAGTACTCCATGTCAGTGTTCTCAAACTCAAAAAGAAATGGGATGGGTCACTAAAAAGTCCATAAGGATCCCTATGGGCAGCCCATTAACTTAGAGAACTGTACATTTATGTTGTATTGTATTTTTATTTATTTTGTTAAATATTTCCCAATTACATTTTAATCTGATTCTGATAACCTTGGGGAATGTTGTACCCCTGGAGCTGTGTGTTTGATATCTCTGTTCTGTACTATTAACATAACCATCCTTATTCTTACACAGACCAGAGATCAAAGATGACTACAGAGATGGACAAAGAGAATAGTAGCACAGAGACCAACTTCTTTCTCCTGGGCTTTAGAGATCACCCAGAGCTTCAAGTTTTCCTATTTTTAGTATTCTTTTTCATCTATACCATGACCTTGTTGGGAAACGTTGGAATGATTACATTGATCACAACCAGTTCACATCTACACACCCCTATGTACTTTTTCCTCAGTGTTTTGTCATTTATAGATGCTTGTTACTCTTCAGTCATTGCTCCAAAATTGCTGGTGGACTTGTTTTCAGATAGGAAAGCTATTTCTTATAATGGATGTGCAACACAATTATATTTCTTTTGTTCTTTGGTGGACACAGAATCTTTTCTCTTGGCTGCTATGGCTTATGACCAGTATGTAGCAATCTGTAACCCACTGCTCTATACAGTAGTAATGTCCAAGAGAGTTTGCTGCCAGCTGGTATTTGGAGCCTTTTTGGGTGGAACCGTGAGCTCCATTATTCACACCACAAACACATTCCAGCTGTCTTTTTGTTCTAATGAAATTAACCATTTCTTTTGTGATATCTCACCTCTATTCTCCCTGTCTTGTTTTGACACTTATATTCATGATATTGTTCTAGTAGTCTTTGCAAGTCTTGTTGAAGCCATCTGTCTTTTAACTGTCCTCCTCTCTTATGCATACATCATAGTCACTATCCTTAAGACTGGTTCTGCTGAAGGGAGAAAGAAAGGATTTTCTACTTGTGCCTCCCATCTGATTGTAGTTACCATCTACCATGGGACTCTGATCTTCATTTATTTACGTCCAAGCACAGATCATTCTCTAGATATTGACAAAGTGACCTCAGTCTTCTATACACTTATTATCCCCATGTTGAATCCACTCATCTACAGCCTGAGGAACAAAGATGTTAAGAGTGCATTAAGAAAGATAATCCACCAAAGAGTACTTTCTCAGTGAGTTATCTTGAAGGAGAACATTTGGCATATTATGGATTAGTCAGCAGAAATTTGAGCCCTGGCTTCATTTTAGCTACTAGTGGACTACTGGAGCAATGATACACCTCTTTCCTTCTTTCTTCCTTCCTTCCTTTCTCTCTTTTGTTCTTTCTTTCTTTTTTTTCAAACTGTCATTACTGGGCTGTGTTCACATGCAACAAAGATGCATCCCAAAATCAGAAAAGGCAAAAACTATTCCCTTTCATTGTTATTACCTCTGTGCAAATGCAATAGTGCTTAAGAGATAAATCTTCTTGACCTCAGGATCTGGATTTTGTACGTGTGTCTATTCCAAATCATCAAATGCATTTATGAAAAGTATAATCTAAAATCACTTAGAAAAGGGACTCCTTGGTTTTGATCTTCTATTACTCAAATCTCCAGCAATAGTTCTTAACATATAATTGACATGTAATAGATTTGGGATTCCTTGCATTGTGCTGAATTGAATTAAATTGTTTGGATTGACTATTCCGATTCATTATTGTTTATTTTTTTCCTTTTAAAACCATCTTTGTCCTATTTGTTTTCATTCTTAAAAACTGGCTAAGCTATGCCAGCAATACAACTTTTTTTGCCCCCAAATAATGGGTTTGAAGGAGTTTTCTTTGTTTCCAATTGGTCTTCATCCAAATATTTGGATAAAACATTTTTCACTCTCCCTGTTAAAATAATATTCATTCAGTCACTCAGTGGCCAACTCATATGTTATCAAGTCCTCAGTTTTCAATACATTCATCAACAACTCAATGCTTCATCACCTAATCTGTCTTCATCTACATGCCCAGAGGACAGAAAATCCTTAGGAAAAATAAGAAAATAATCATATTCATATTTTTAGCATTTATTTTTTTTCTAAATTGAAACCAAAGTCTTTGTCACTATTATAGTTCAACATCTAAAACTAATATGATTTTATCATTGGACATTACATTAGAAGAAGAGGCATTACCATCTGCTTTGCCACTGCACCCTGAGGACTATGAAACCTTTCCATCTGACTTGTAACAGATACTTTCATTATGTACTGTCTTGCCCTTTAGGATGTGAGCTCTTTGAGAGCAGGGACTTTTACTTTTCTATTTATGTTTACAGTGTTTAGCAGAGTTCTTTGAATGCTTGTGATGCTTAATAAATGCTTCATTCATTCACTTATTCGTGAGGACTCTAAATTCCCCAAACTATTAGTTCTCTTTTCTTTCTGATTTTTTTGGCATTTTTTTAAGTATTGTCTATTTACATAGGATAATAGCATTAAAAAGTCATAGATTTGTTGTTGAAAGGAAGCCTAAGGATTATTTTACCTATTTTCTTCATTTTCTACATAGATAAAGGACCAGAAAGATTAATTGACTTTCCCAGGGTATGTGGTAGAACCATGATTTGAGTACCAAATCCAGCATATGTCTCATTGAATCCCTCCAATACCACCTCCATTAAGATTAAAATCAATCCTTAAGGAGGACAGGAACTGCTCCTTTTTAGTCCATCTATCCCATGAATTTGGCAAAGTATCATACATGTAGGAAAATAATGAGGTTGTATCTAATTGAATGGGATAATATAGGATATAATTGAAGGGAGGCTTATATGTCCATGTCAAAATGACTGCAAATGGTAGCATTGCTAAAGGAGGGAGGGCTTCTACTTCTATCCATCTTTTTATGCCAGTCTTTCTACAATCTATTTTTATGAAAATACTATAATTGTAATTAAAAATGAATAACGTTTCATAAGTGAGCCTGAATATTTCTGCAGTGGAGAAAAGAGCAGGCTGGACCCAGGCATACCTCACAGAGCACCAGTCATACCCCACTCAAAAGAAAATGATCAGCCTAAATGGGATCACAATTTGAGCTCCTAGATGACACCCCCAATTCAATTCTCTTTCCTGCCACACCCAATGCAGGGTTTTGGGTTCTTTTTATGAAATTCTTTGACATTTTTGACATTTTTTTTATGTCAGACACTACAGTGGACATATAAGCCTCCCTTCAATTATCTCCACAGACCAAAAAAAAAAAAAAGATGACCTGGGAACACTAAAGCCCATGTAAGATTGGTGGAAGCTAACCTTTGATGGACAAAATTGTCATCAGATCTAACCCAATCTAAGTTGTTTCTGGTGAGATTTACTAAGGAAACACACTTGGGTTCACTGAGTACTTCTTAAAAAGATAAGATAAAAAATAAAACTGTCCTATTTGTACCAGGGAAGGTAATACTTTGGTTATACTTGATTACTTTACCAAAGTTAAGGGTATTATAGTGGTAGAGGTATACTAAAGGAAACAGAACCAATCTGGGACTTTGAATACTACTGTACCCCCGGGAGATATTGATCTAAAGTGAAATATAATCATTTCCTGGGGAGGTGGGGAATGGTCATAGATTTGGCCCAATTAATATCTTCCTTTAGGGTCATATAAATTGCACTGCACTCAACCTACAACTGAAAACATCTTTTCAAAGATGAGGCATAAATAGATCATGGTTGAAAGTCTTGGGTTCAGATCTTCAATATTTTGTTAACTTGCTAGCTATTGAATCATTGGCAAGTTATGCCATCTCTCATGTTAGTTTCCTCATCTATACAAGGAGAAAATGGGACTAGTAAACCCTGGAATACCTTGTAGTTTCTAAAATAAGATACCATGAAATGAAACTGGGTACAGCTAGGTGACTCAGTGAGTAGAGCACTGTGCCTAGAGTCAGTAAGACTCATTTCCCTGAGTTCAAATCTGGACTCAGTCACGTACTAATTGCGTGACCCTAGACAAATCACTCAACTGTGTTTGCCTCAGTTCCTCAATGAGTAGGAGAAGGAAATGATGAACCACTGCTGTATCTTCACCAAGAAAACCCCATATGGGGTCACAAAGAGTTAGAAACAACTGAAAAATGACCTAGCCAATCATGAAATGAAAGAGGGATGAAGGGACACACATGACCAATTGTTTCTGTTGGAATAAATAGAAACCTTTAGTAATGTCAAATTTACTTGGCTGTCACATTTCTATTCCCCCTAATTTCCAGTACCAAGTGCTAAACATCATGGACATAGCCATCTTAATTTTTTCACGGTACCTGATAAAAAAATAGCAGCAATCTGAAATCAACAGCAGCAGCAGCAACACTAATAACAATAATAATTTTATTTAGTAGTTAAGGTTTACAGAAAATTCTCATGTGCTATATCATTTGATCCATAAAATGTCTATTGGAAATAATTTATTTTTCCAATTACATGTAAAAACAAACATTTGTTGTTTTTTTTTTTAATTGGGTTCCAAATTCTCTCCTTCTGCAATCATGTTAGAGAAAAGGAATCTTGGAAATACTGTTCTCCGGTAAAAATCTGCTCTTTTTAAAATTCATAATGTACTTTCCGATGTATCTTATTTTAATTTTGTCACCTATTGTTTTTACTTCTGATAACTCTTTCCCAGTTTGCTAATTCTTCTGAGGAGAGTGGGGAAGCAATAAGTGCCCATCTTTCTGGAAAATGTATGTCTTTGGGAAGATGGATGTTTTTTGTTTCATTGTTTGCCTTATGCTTTACTTTTTTATTTCATTTTAAGTTATGGATAAAGTTAAATGACCAAAAATTATTTTACTGAATTAAAAAAATTTGGAAAAACAAAAAAGTCAAGAATATCAGAGGAAACTACGTAAAAAGGTGTAAAGGAAGGAGGTTTAGCAGTACCAGATCTTAAAACTATATCATAATGCTTTATATTTTAATCATTTTAATTGTGATAAATTGTCTTGTAATCCTTCTTGTATAATTTTGACTTTGGTATTTTTTTTTCCCATTATTCTTTCCTTTCTAGTCAGCTCCTCTCAGAGAATAGAGATTGGACAATTCAGAATATAATTTCCTTGTTTCTTGGGGATTTTTGGCACAAGTAGCATATTGGATTCTTTTTACCTGGTTACTTTAGGCTATAAATGCTATATTCCTGAATACTCTTACCCTGTTGTGTAAATCTAGCTTCTCTTCTTGTTTAGTTTTACTATTTTTAACTCCCCCATTTACTCTTTCCAGGAAAACTGGAAAAAAAACACTCGGTGCTATTACCAAATTACACAGTAAAGTAGAGCAAACTTTATATTATTTGAAAATTATTGGACCTCATGTGCATTGGATATGTCAGCAAATATACCAAAAAGGACCTAACTCATGGAAAGCTATTGTTGTCACAGGGAATGATACTCTCTTTCAACCATGATCTATTTATGCCTCATCTTTGAAAAGATGTTTTTCAGTTGTAGGTTGAGTGCAGTGCAATTTATATGACCCTAAAGGAAGATACTAAATGGGGCCAAACCTATGACCATTCCCCACCTCCCCAGGAAATGATTATATTTCACTTTAGATCAATATCTCCTGGGGGTATAACAGTATTCAAAGTCCCAGATTGGTTCTGTTTCCTTTAGTACACCTCTACCACTATAATACCCTTAACTTTGGTAAAGTAATCAAGTATAACCAAAGTATTACCTTCCCTGGTATAAATAGGACAGTTTTATTTTTTATCTTATCTTTTTAAGAAGTACTCAGTGAACCCAAGTGTGTTTCCTTAGTAAATCTCACCAGAAACAACTTAGATTGGGTTAGATCTGATGACAATTTTGTCCATCAAAGGTTAGCTTCCACTAATCTCACATGGGCTTTAGTGTTCTCAGGTCATTTTTTTTTTAGTCTGTGGAGATAAGGCTTATATCTCTCTCCCCCTAAACTGGGTTGGAGCATGGTGGATTGCTTATTTGGTTCCACCAGTCTCAGTCTTTAACTATACTATAGGACTAGAGAGGAGAAGTGCTATTAGAAATCTGAGTGCATGGTAGCATAGTTGGGAAAAAAGAGGAATATTAGTGAATAACCTCATGAAAGAAAATGGGCTAGTGATAAAGATTCTCTAGTCCCTATTCCCATTCATTGAAGTGTCTGTGTTAGAA